TCACGTGTTTGGGATTAATTTTATTTATTATTTTTTTTTTTTTTTTTAAAAAAAAAAAAAAAAAATACAACACATAAAATTATCTGTATATTTATGAAACTTTTAGTTATTTACACTTTTTATTGTTTGAATACCATATTTATGCGTGAATCATTACTTTTTAAAATAAATTCTAGTACTTTACACATTAATAAAATTTAAAGAAAAATTTTTTTTAATGTTATAAAAGATTGAATTTTAAAAGTCCGTTAGATATATACAAACTACTTTAATGATATAGTTGACAATAGCAATGTTCTCCGCTATACTTAAAAAAAAGAAAAGAGATAATAAAAAAAGAATGAAATAATATATCAATAATGCATATAAAAATATATATATAAAGATAAAATGAAAAGAAGGAATAGAACAACTAGTATATCTACAAGTTTTACAAAAATATATATACAATTAAAATTGTGACATGAAACAAGAGAAATATACAAATAAAAAAAAGATTTGGTACAGACAAGAAAAGCAATACAATTGTCCAAACTAAGCTAAAGAAAAAGAAAATATAAAAAAAAGAGATGTTTGTATATAAAGCACGTGTCGTGACCGAAATTTTCTAACCCTCCTTAAGCAAATAAGCTATTTACAATAATGTTTAACTTATAATTGCTTTATCCTATCTAATTATTTTTTAAAAAAATCCCGCGATATCAACTGTTGTTCTACTCGTTTTCCAAGAAAAGTAATTTTTACCAATAACGAACAACACGATATCGACAGCCAACAAATTGAAATTCACGATTACCCATGATAAAACTTCGAGGCCAAGCGCTAAAAGTTGAATCTTTCCGCAGAGGACGGGCACCATCGTCTTGGGATAATTGTTGCAATGCGATAGTAGCATTAATTGCTTCATAGAGATCATTTTCTGTCAAAGGTGATGGAGGCTGATTAGTGTAGGTGGGATGTATAGTTGGAGGAGGATAAGGGTTATAAAAGTTAGTCATAGGAGCAGGTTCAATAACAGAAGGTGTAAAGGTAGGAGAAATAGAACAAGAGCGAGGCGAATGAATAAGTTCACGGTGAGTTTTTTGCAATGTTGTATCAACAGGAGAAAATTGAAGTTGATCATGGCGTTGAGAAGCACTAGAATAAGCGGAGTCCGAGCCACGACGATTAATTACCAAAGGTGCAAGACCATCATCAGAGGAAGAGTCTTCATCATCACCAAGACTACCGTTTTCAGGTGAATGTTGCCTTCTTCGTTTAGAAATCGCCTGATTTTCCACAGTCATTTCACCAAGATGTATATCGTCAGCCGGACGCTTTTGCTTACGGAGAATTACCAAATGACGATGATGGTTCTCCTGAACCTGACAACCCGTATTATGAAGATGCTGATCAACAACGTGATCATTAATAACGCGGGTTTCATGCATAATGTTATGAGCAAGTTCACCAGTATCATCATCGATTGGAGAAGCCATCATTTTGATGATAGTCTTGGTCTTGCCCTTAGTTACAGGAGGTGTGCTATCAATACGTACATCTTTTGGCTTGCGCCTTTGACGTTTCTTGGTCGGAACAGAATCAGAAAGTGTAAGGCGACCGTATCCAGGTTGCGTCGGATCTAAAACTTGAGAAGGGAACTCTGGTCCAAATAAAGAGACAAGTTCTTCACGAACTTCGTAACATGTTCGGCGACATAGTTCGTATGCCTTATCATGCGGCATCCTATATACATATATATATATATTTTTCATTTATATTAATATATTAATTATATTAATCGCACCAAATATAAAATGATTGGTGATTACAAACCATGTCCCTTGGATTTTAAGAAATCCACCTCTAACTTTCTTGATTGTTGAAGCCAAGTCAGGATGGGTATCAACTAACCTAGCAATGTCAGCTTTATTGTTTCCAAGGGCTTTCCAAATGCCTGTGAAGTGAACATATCCGTTCTCTCGATCCCACATAATAGGCTGGTTGTTTATAGTAAATTCGTACACTGATTTAGATTATAATATATGGTCAGTAAATATATTTTGATTTGTATATTGTTAAGAGTAAATATTCACATATAAGAAATGTTATACGCAGTAACTTACCGGGAATGTACCCTCTGAGATCTAGAGAGGTGGAATACTTGGTCCTTTTGATTTTCGTATTGGTAACTGGATAAGGACGATAAGCCACTGGTTCATTCAAGTATCCGTCGTCTTCGTCGGAGTCTTCTTGCTTGGTAGTCCTCTTCTTCGTCATGGCAGGTTTATGTCGCTGACCAACAGCCATAGATAATTTTTCATTTGTAATTGTTTCTTGAAAAGTAGCACCAAGTTCGGTGAAAGCTGATATAGGTGAAGCATGCTGTGACATTATGAAAAACTAAACAAAGTTTCTGAAAGGAGTTATGCAAAAAACACAAGCTCGATAAAGTTGCCAAAGGAGTTATTCCCACGGCAATGTGCTTTCAAAATTTTAGTGGGTTCTGATAATGCGCGTATTTGTAATAAAACTAAGTGATCAAGGAAAGCAACAAAGTTGCGTGTGGTCAAAAAAAGTGTTGGAAATAAAAGAATGTTCCGCAAGACAGTCAACAATGT